ATACTTTCCTATATGGTTATGATACGTGGTTTGCGTAAGGTTCATCATACGTACTGCGTAACAGAGCGCTAAGCCCATTGTAGGAATATGGACTAAGGCCTGAACTTCAAGGATGCTTCGTTGCTGTGTAAGTATTCCTCCACAATTGCGCGTGGAATTGCCGCAATCCTCGTCGTATCTTAATCAGTCTGCACAAATGAGCCGCAAATTCACGTAAGCACCAACGAAGCGTCTAATTAATGCAGTTCAGCACACGCTACGCACAAAGGCCCCATACACACAGCTAAGTGCTCACGTTTCCCCTTAATACGGCATTCGTACCCACCCAGTTCATCTACAAAGGTTAATGCGCTTTGGGAAGATCTGCCAAGTTCGGCTATTAAATGAGTCGGGTTTGTTAATGGGTACCAAAGAGAGTGCGAGTAATAAATGCAAGCTCACGTCAACTGTGATTGTTGCGCACAGGCGATCGTGGCGACTGATTGCATCGTATACATACATCGCAAACGTGGCGACATTGCCATCGCGTGAAATGCAGATCCCATCCCTAAGAAATATAATTGAAACTAAACTACTAACTAAACTAAATGCTTGGTTCTTTCGGTAAAGTCACGTAGAAGGGAAATACTAAAATAATATAAATATAAAACAAGAAAAATTCTCACGACGTTTCTACTGCAACACAAGCAATCGTCATCAGGTGTGAAATCCACAGCAACCTTTTTTCAAATTTTCTTGCTGTGGATTTTACACCTGATGATGATTGCTTGTGTTGCAGTCGAAACGTCGTGAGAATTGTTTTATTTTATATTTATATTATTTTAGTATTTCTCTTCTATGTGACTTTACCGAAAGAACCAAGAATATGAATCCCTGCAGTCACGAATGTTTTAAATCAAAATACTAACTAAACTATTTTTTTTCTTTACAAGGTAAGGCCCACTGAGCTATGTTGCTCTTTTGCAGAAGCGACCTGGCCACAAATGATAGCGCAACGAAGTGGCTTGTCACGTGGAAATAACAGCCAAATATTCTAAACGCGTGTTTCTAAATGTGGAGGGAAAAACCGGAGGACCCGGAAACAAATCCAGGCACACCACGGGAAGAACACGCAAACTCCAAATATACAGGCGTCAGGGTCGGGATCGAACCCATGACTATCCTGTTTACCAGGCGAGGTAGTCAACATCCCACCACTGGGGTGCCCTAGCGAACATCCGTACAATCACGAGGAGTGTGTTACTGTGTAGACTAGGTGGATGCGGTGGTACCGTAGCTGTTTGTCACCTCGGCTGTTTGGCACTGCGGCTGATTGGCACGCAAGCTGTTCTTCACTGTGGCATAACGATGGTGTTCAGCGATGGGTTTCACCCGCAGTTCAAAATTGTTGGTCTGAGCTCGGGAAAAGTCGCCTGCTGTGGTGTGAAGTGAACTGTGAAAAAATTGTACGATCGCTCATTTACGATTGGAGTAAGGGTCAAGGAGTTTGTAACTATAGTTATCACCGTTAAATGGTGCATTTTGCCATGTGCCTATCCGTTGTATTACATTCCGTTGTGTTTGTGCAGTGAGAAGATGGAGATAATTGTGAAAATTATTTTAAATTCCACGCACTTAAAACTCCTCTTAATCCACCAAAGGCTCTAACAGTTTACATTAATGTTTTTTTTTCAATTAAAGATCTTAAATTACAAATTATACGACTGTGTATATGGTCAGTCATTAAACTTATTATTAATGACACAGTTTTATATTAAACCCTTAACCTACCCGTGACACATGATTTGCAAACGAACGCTGATGGTTCATTAGTTTGAGTCAAGGTCAACAGGTCATCACACCCGATGCCGTTGACGTGGTCACCGCGTCTCGCCATCGCTTCCTTCTGCAAAGCCCCAGGAGTCGTTGCAAAAGTCGACAACGTAGCCAGCGCTGCAGTCGATGTATGTATGTTCAACTTCTTTCACACCGTACATAACCAACCGTGCCAATCGGAGGCGCAGTGGGCACCTCTGGGTGCCACCCGAATGGCCGTCTCAATAACATGCCCTTCTCCATCCCGTGCCAGTACCACAAAAGGACAAAGACCCCCCGGATAACCTGTAACAAACTGTTGGGGCAAGTGCGAGCACCTATGAAGGCCAGCACAGCACACGAGGGTGTGGGTGGCCAGTACCACCCCCGGCCGCCTTTGCCTCCCCAGTGGCGATGTCTACACACCAGGTACTCATTTGAGGCTAAGTCGATCTAGGGGACCGGTTCAGATAATCGTCACTGGTGTTGGCCATGAGCGGGAATCGTACTCGGGTCACCGGGTTCGTAGCGCAGCGCGCTGACCGATACGCTACCGCTCCCCATACCACACCCACAGCACACTCACTCCTCCTACTGATTAGCAGAGCCCACTGTGATCTTCTGTAACCCACGTGTGAGCCTTGTGCGATACGGCCAGCGTGGTTTCGGGGTCTCCGGCCCGAAGACCACGAATGATATACCAGCTCACGTTCGGGATCCATCCCTGAGCCCGAGGCAGTTTCGCCAGAGACTTAAAATGGCGTTGTTCCGAACAGCTCACTGGGTGTGATTAGTGCGCATTGATGATGGATTGGGCTCATAAGAGTGCGCGATAAGAAATGCTCAGACTCACTTACCTCCTCTACACTACCATCTTGCCACCTTCTCTTGCAAACGTTAATAGTATCCTCCCCATGAACCCGTATTCCAGGATATTTGTTTCGAGTTGCTTTTCTGACTGGCCATCTATCTCTCTTGACCTGCGTATCACGGCAGACACCACTCGGGCCCCAAACACCCATATTTCAACACTGGCTTTGAGGCTTCTACTCGTGTACATTGGCTTGCTCAGTCCATAAACAAACGTACCCTGCTAATGCAACGCAGCTCTTGACCCCCTTCTCACAATCACCTCTTGTGCACTTTACTACGACACTGTTGCGCATTGTAACTTGCTGACCCGCCCCACGTGCCGGACAGCTGTGAAAAAGAGCTGCATATCTCATTGGATTCAAATACGGATTTAGAAATTACTATCTTTTGCATGTGGAGCGGTGGCACAGTGGTTGGCATCGCAGCGCTATGAACCTGATGACCTGGGGTCAATTCCCGGCCCAGGCTAAAATCAGTGGCGAGAGATATCTAAATCATGGGCCCTCCATTTGCGCAACCCGCACTGACCAGCGTGGTGAAGTACAATCTAACAAACCCCACGACCAACACGATGTAGGAAAGCCTTCATCCGGCAGTGGATTGACCAAGAGCTGTGATTTATGATCGTCTCCCAGCGGGAATAAGGATTGAGAAACTACCCAAACACACAATTTCCTCTCTCGCATTCACATTCTTGCACCCTGCTGGTACCGGTGATAATGGTGAACTGAAGAACTGAAACAAACTTGATTTGTGTCAAGCTCAAGTTGTGATCACATTGGCCAATGTTTAATGATTTTTAAACGACACATTTTATGTATCTGGAATAGGAAGTAGACGCATTTGATAGGAGGGAGTTAAAGTAGATTCATTCCAGGCCTTTTCGATATTCCACACTGCATGTCCTAGATATGTCCATTATATATACAAAATAATAAGTTTGGTAGTTGTACTCGCGATAGTGATCCCTTTCTAAACAGTCCTCGAGCCGTGTTTGATGGAAAGGAGTCACTAAATGCCACTGTGGTCATGGTGGCTGATGACCAGCCTCATCCGTGTCTCTGCGTGTGTGAGAACACGCGGTGTTGCGACGCCTGCGATTCACTCCGCGAGGAGTCAAGCGCCACGCAGAGACAGTCTTTCGAAGTTTTAACGCTGCCTCTGTATATTTCCTTCACTGGGTTACATTGCGTGGCATCTAAGCGAGACAAAAAATAACCTTCATCAATTGTGGACACCAGGCCATAGCAGAAATGCACCTCTACCGCGTCAGTATTCATGAAAGCAAAACAATAGTGTCACCTTGCATAACTACAACAATGCACGGTGAGCTGCTAAACAAGTTTCTAGTTCTTTCCGTGTACCTGCAGAAGTAACATTGGGAACTGGAAATATTCACTTTTTTCTGTTGTGTGGTCATCAATTTTGCAACTGAGGCTGTAAGTTGATGGATACAACATCGGGGCAGCTGAGACGACACTAACGCTATCAAATGAGGAACTATGCGACATCAGGTGTGCCCTATCTCATCAAATCTCAGAAGCTCAGCAGATTTGAGCCTGGAAAGTGCTGAGATGGGATATCACCAGGGACCAACAGGGCTTACTGGAGTTGCGTGGTGGACAACAGATGGCAGTGCGGCAAAATCGATTGATATACTGTACGTCTCTGGTCCCACGTCTGAGCTCCCTGCATTTGCCAACCTGCAGTGACCAGCATGGTGAAGTATGGTCAAATATTCCCCATGACCTGCATGGAAAAGAGAGGCCCTTCTCCAGCAGTGGATTGACAAAAAGAGCTGTCCTTGAACATGGAAACACAGGGCTCTTTCGCAGGTTCCCAGTGGTGCCAGCTCAGTGCTCACACAAGGTAAAGCATCATCCCCCTGGGTGAGTGGGTGAGTGCTGATGTGAGTGAATGAGCGTGTGAGTGGCTGGGTGAGTGCATGAGCGATTGGCTGAGTTGCAGGGTGGGCGAGTAGGTGAGTGAGTCAGTGAGTGAGCGGCTGGGTGAATGAAGGAATGAGCATATTCTTGGTTCTTTCGGTAAAGTCACGTAGATAGGTTCAAAGTTATTTTCTTTGAACCTAACTACGTGACTTTACCGAAAGACCCAAGAATATGAATTCCTGCAGTCACAAAAGCTTTAAGTCAAGATTTAGGGAATGAGCAATTGGCTGAGTGAGTGGCAGGCTGAGTGAGTGGCCGCCTCCTTCCACCACCCAAGCCGTAAACGCGGACAGACCAGGTCATGCGTGCACGCGCGTGAGCGAGCGAATGCGCGCGAGCGAGCCAACGCCTGCGTGCGTGCGTGCGCCTGTGCGCGCATCGTACCAGGCGGCGGATTTCGCGCTCGCAGTCGCGCTTGACGCGCGCCATCTCGTCCTGGTGCAGGTGGTGGGAGGCGCGCAGCTCGGACGCCTTCTGTCGGTCGGCCTGCAGCACGGTGCCGAGCGTCTCCTCGGCGCTGCGCCGCGCCCACCTCAGCTGCTCCACCTCGCTCTGCAGTCGCGAGCGCTCCGCCTCGAAGGAGCGCCGCGCCTCCTCACGAGCCTCGCTCAGCATCGCCGTCCGCGCCTGCGGCACGCGCGGGCGGGTGCGCGGGCGGGCGGGAGCCACGTGGGGGGGTGGGGGAGAAACGAGCGGAGCCGGTGGCCCGCGGTGGTGCTCCATTATTCATTTGCTCGCGTGCCACCCTCGCTCGATCGATCAATCGATCGAGCGACCGACGCGTTTGATGAACGAACGTCAGGCCGTTGAGACAATTAGCGCCTCTTCGTAAGGCAGAGACACGCGGCGGCGTGCCATGTCCGAGAAAAATCACAAGCGGCAATATTCAATGCGTGAACAAATCGTTTGTGGCCAGGTCGCTTCTGAAAAAAGAGTAATATAGCTCAGTGGGGCCTTACCTGGTAAAATAAAAAAGAGTTTTTAGTTCAAACGCAAGTGTCAATGAAATGCAGAACAACGATACGACTGCATGTGTTTTTCGGGTAAGCGCCGCGTGTTTTGCTCCACACGCTGCGAGCTTCTTCAGCAACTGAATAATGTGACAGTTCTTGAAGAAGTGCCGCATACACACGACCTCTAAACGTGGCAGTCTGTGGTGAGTGTCCATCACGATAACTCGAAGGCCACGTAGGAAATACTACAAAAGCCTGTTGTCGACTATGAAAAGGCATTTTTTTTCAATCAAGATTGATGCAATCATCACGGCTCTCTCAGACCAATGCCTTAACAAAATATATATCGACAAAGATCTGCAACAACTACACTGAGAGTACATGTATAAAGTAAGAAAATGTTTAATCTGAAGAGGAGTCAGGCAAGCAGAGGTATAAACATAATGAGTGAAAGCGCTCAACATCTGAGATGTCATGACGACGAAACCATCATAACCTCCAACGCGAATGAACCACCGGCAATGTTCGAGTAACTTAACTACGAACAAAATGAATGTCGTTCACAACGACTTTGATAAACACTTGGAGATGTCTGTCAAGAGGAAAAAAAATGCGCAAATGTGACAATATACCAGGTTGAAGATGGATGTGCATATAAATAGAAACCTGGAGATACTGGTACATATACAATCTGCAAGGTGTATGTACATATCTAATCTGCAACACCACTATGGAAGATCTTACATTCTAACAGGAAACATAATATTTATGCCATTCAATTAATTCTATTTTTTCATACATTAAAATTCAAGTAATATTTGGCTCACTATTAAACATGTAATTACGACCGTCAAAAGTATATAATTAGTTAATCATGTGCAAAGAAATATATTATTAAGTTGTTGAAAGCTAATTCATTTATGAAATCTATTTAACGAATAGGTTGTTGCAAAAAAGAATGTGATTAAATGAAGAGTGGCAAGTGTTTGTTGACTATAAAGCATCGTGTTCAAATTCGTATTTATATTACACGCAAACCCGTTGATTAATTAGCGTAAACATCATGTAACGTGCACTTAAATAAATACACGTATTTCTACGTGAGGTCTGTTGAAGAAGGGAACCCTCTCACCCCACATACTCTGTATCTATTTCTAATAAAATAAGACTATCGACACTTCCCACTATTACAGGCAGCTCCGTGAATATTCATAACAAATGTTTTTGGGTGAGATCGCGTTATTTATAAATGTGTCGCAACCCTCCACCACCCGACACGGCCAATCAGTAAAAAATGTGTCACGTTGACAAAACGTCAATTAGTAACTTCTTCAGTAACTAATTGGCGTTTTGTTAACGTAACACATTTTTTACCGATTGGCCGTGTCGGGTGGTGGAGGGCTGTGACACATCTATATATATAATGAGCCACGAATGCCTGTGTGTAACGCGCGTGATGTCACTCCGCGTCGACCAGCCCCCCTCATTAATAATCATGAACAGGTGGGGTCCTCCACATGTACCCCCCCCCACCCTCGTCATTAATTACACTGGTCAACAACAACAAAAAACATTTTTTTCTGGCCTGGACTTTTGCAGCTGTTTTAGACTAATTTCAGGGTGCTGATTCCAAATCTGATCTCAGATTTGCTCTATCACATTATTTTTATGCTATCGGCATACCCCATTTTCCCGAAATTAACTCTGTCACTTATGATGCAAGTTGTTGCGAGTCAGTGACTGCTTTAGTGATAAAATATGGTGCTGTATTTTTAGGATAGTGCGTTTATAATATCATTTTATGTAGATATCCACATTTATTTAATATTTTTCTTCTGCAGTTTTTATTGAAAATGCAATATTTGATATCTCAAAAACCTGATGTGATAGACAAAAACTGATGCCAGATTTGGAATTGGCACCCTAAAATTACATTAACACCGTTGGAATACCTTATGCCAGAAAAAGTGTGTTGACCAGTGTAATCATGAGAACAGGTGGATTTTGACACTAATGCAGAAGAAAGTTGAGCGGAAAAAACTTTTTTTTAACGCTAATTTGCTTCAAGTTTGACGTTTCTTTATTGTGATTCAAATAAATATTTATACGCAGCAACAAAGTTAACTTCGTGCCTTTATTTATTTCTTCAGCACTTGAAACAAAAGGTAAGTCTAATTTGTGCTTCTAAATTATGATAAAATAGACATTTCTCCGTGCTTTTCCTGATATTGTATCCAATTCCAATTTATTTCAACCCCAGCGAGCGAAAGCAGAAGAGAATAAAGTATCAGAGCAGTAAGTTTGAACAAATTGTAGGTCAATTAAATACAGCACTACAGTGACATGAAGTGAGGTGTTTTATGACGTAGTTTTTTGCAAGAATCACTGCCATTAATACAGTGCTACAGTGAAATGCAGTGAAGTGTTTGATGACATACTTTCGTGCAAGATTCACTGCCATTAAATTTACACAAGATACAATTATACTCTGGTCAATTTTTTTCGTAAATATTACAGCTTCCGTCCTAGGACGGGCAAACAAGCTAGTTTATAATAACGCGATCAAACCCAAAAACCTTTATTATGATTAATACTGGTCGCGAAAGCCTACGTGTTAAACTGCGTGAATATTATCGCAATCAGGGCCGGAATAACGTTCTTGTCGGCCCCTAGGCACTTCTGTTTCGTAGGCCTTCAGTGATAAGTCTCTACGGTTGGTGCTGCTGCTGCTGCTGCTCCTGCCCCACGTTACTACTACTGCCGCTGTCACTCACTTGATTGTGCGGGGGAAAAAACACCATTTGAAGACGTTATTGGTAATTTCGCAATAAAAAAAAAATGGAAAGTTCGTCTACGGTGTTAATTCCTCTCTCTCACCTAATGAAAAAAACCGATTGACATTGACATGACTCTGCCTCTTTGTATTAACACTGTTGCCTACCCTTGCTGTCTAAATATATTTATTCAAGAAGTTATCTTGGCTACAATTTTGTTATCATTCAAACAAAAAAAGATGGTCAACATTTTTTGTCGTAGGCTTTTTTATTTTCGTAGGCCCTAGGCACGGTGCCTACAATGCCTATTGTAGGCACTCTGCCCAGTGCCTACCGTGCCGATTGGATAATACTGCACCCTGATCACAATCCATCATCAAAGTCAGTTTTGTAAAATTGCATGCAGCAGCAGCAGCACAGGAAAGCGGTAGGCCCGTACGCATTCCGCACGGGGCAAAATAACCATTTGCGCGTTTTACAAACACGCGCCAGGGTGCCATTTATGTATTCATTTATCCGAGAGCAAACTTAGCCGAGCATCCAAATGCAGAAAGTAAACCTTTCAAGGGCGGGAATCGTGGCGCCAATGGTAACCCTTGTGCCTCGGGAGTCAAACCCATTCCTGCGTAGAGTTTTTATTCTCTCCCCATCTTCTGCACGCGTTGTCTCCGGGTTCTCCGTTTTACTCGCAAAAGATGAAAAACACGCACAATGAAACTCGACTTGACCAAGCACCAAGATGCTGAAAATTTACTCGCAAAATACTCAATTGGGATTGGGCAGGACCCTCCTTAAAAAATGGTTTTGGGCTTCAGCGAGGCTTTTCTGAGCAAACAAACATAATAATAATAAGAATAATTAATTCAAATTACATTACCGTGTGCTGATGTTGAACTTATTTCGCAGCGTACGGAGCCCACCGTGCTAATCGGAGGTGAGGAGGAACAAACTAAGCACAACACACAGTTCTAAACAAATGAGTTTTCAGTCGAAACTATTTAAAAGTGCAAATCGTTCCAGCCGGCCACAAAAGCGCATCCAAAAGCGCATGATGCACCAAGGTATCAGCCAAAGGGTGGAAGAGGAGGCCTAAAATACTGTCTATAGGGGGTCCCAAGAGCTCCCTTTAGCAGGCCTGCACCTTCACCATTTAACCTGAGCTGGCAAACGTTTGTAAAATATACCGAGACTAGCGCTGCCCACCTACTTGCGTGGGGTACAATTTAACCGTTTCCCGTTCCGAGACGTCTGCAAGTTGCAGGGTGGGTGGTGTCCTGTTCACCGCTGAATCTCGGAACTTGCAAGAGGCTCGGCGTTATTTTTTATTTAGAAAGGCGTAGCGCCGTTCTTTTTAAAAACATTGTACTGTACTCACCGCAGAAAACTGCAGTGACGCGACCGCACTCTATGATAGCTGGCACCAAACTGTGCCACATGCCCTACCGCATGGTTTAAGTGAATTGAAAATGCTATGGATATCTTTTAAACCCCTTGAAATATAAAAACAAATATTATTCGTGTCGACATATCGGCAAGCTTATAAGCAATTATTAAGACTTCCAGCTAGACAAATGTTGGAGGTAAATACTCCTTGATGACCCTTGATCTAACCTTGTCTTCATATTAAATCTGACGACAGAAATATTAAATGGAAGGCACTACTCGTTTCCCAGTGGCACTCGCTGACTACGTGCCAGCACTCATCGATCATTGCCTCCTGTGTTTGAGCAATGAAGTGCAAGGTGTGTTCCAATGGCACCCTCGTGTACAAACGGCCGGCTATTGGATGTTCCCAGACGTTGTTTCGAAATTTCGGGATCAAAATGTTGGAAATTCACAAAAGGCGCAATTTTTATTGTGGTCGTGTCCTCGGCAAGAGAAACATTTTTGGTCTCAGTCGCGTTTTCCTCCGTCGTTCCGTGTGGGAGACGCAGAGCGTGACGGACGGACACTTGTGAATTATATATAATTACTTTTGGCTAACCATCGAACAAAGATGGTCGCTCAATCGCACGCTTTCAGATGCGCTTCTGCGGCCGTCTGGAACTCTCCTCCTTCCGATATTAGGAAGCCACTGGAGCTATGCACTTTTAAATCTAGATTGAAAAACTCATTTCTTTAGAACTGCTTTTTGTGTTTAGTTTGTTGTCCTTTCCCCAGCACCTCCGATTAGCCCGGACGGCTACGTACGGTGCAAAAAAAGTTCAACATACATACATGCATAGCGAACAAGGCAGCTAACAACGCTGCGAGTGGCTTCGGGTGATCGGGGAGAGAGAGCGAGAGAGCGATAAGCTCGAGGCGCTCGGTGAATTGTCACGAGCCGGTGGGAGGGTCGCCAGGCGCTCGGTGGATTGTCGCGAGCCGGTGGGAGAGCCGCCAGCAGGGGCGAGCGTACCTTGTCGGTGGCGCCGTCGCGCAGCGCGCTCACCGTGGCGTGCAGCCGCTGCACCTCCCCGTCCTTGATGCGCGTCAAGCGCAGCAGCTCGGCCTCGTGCTGCCGCAGCAGCGCCTCTCGCGTCGCTTGCGCCTCCCGTGCGCGCTCCTCGTGCAGCCGCGTGCGCAGCTCGCTCACGGCCGCCGTGTGCCGCCGCTGCTCCTGCTCGCGCGCCGCACGCACCTCCTGCACCTTCTCGCGCTCCAGCCGGCTCACCTGTCCGCACGTCGCAAGAATAAAGACAAAGGTGCCACCCCCGTGTACGGGCTTAGGTATCGCCACCTGTCCTGCTTTGCCCCAGGGACGTCCTCCCTCGTGTGAGGGGGCCTCCCCAAGCATTACGGGTCACGGGAGTTATTTGGCCAATCTTGCTGGCGAAAAATTATTAACCTTTTCAGGGACCTCAGCAAAATTTCTACACATTGGAATGACTGGAAAGGTGAATTGGAGGCGTCACCACTGTTGCACTGCAGGGACACAGTGACGCTGCCGCGGATGGATGCCACAGCCTCCCGGATGCATCTTGTTTATTGATCTCAGAGCGCGTGGCCGTGTGAAATTTAGTTCATGTGAAAATTCGATTTCGTCGATCGAAAAGTGTCCACGATTTGTCAGTTGCGTTCACGCGAAATTTTGTAAACCGAACGTTCCGTAAATCAAGGGATAACCTGTACTCTCAGTTGACGAGAATGGAGAGGATAATGGTCAGCATGGTCCGCACCAAGCCAGTCGTCGCAAAGTCCGCTGTTTGGATTCTGTAGGCACCCACAATCGCACGTGGAGGAAGAGCCCACTTATATCGGGTAGAACTCCATGAACCACTTCTTGCCAATTACAGTGAATATGCCATGACAAATGTAGATATTCATTGCACGGTTCCAAGTACTGTACTCGTGTGACTTTTTTTTTTACTGTTTTTACAATTTGTATCAGCCATAATAGAGGGTTTTTTTTTTTACGTGATCTATGCGATCTAACCAAAAAAAACTCCTCTACTATGGATACTATTGGTCACGAACTCCTACATGTAAAGTATTTTTATTTAGGCTTAAAGCAACCTGGGAGAGGCCCCGAATATGTTCAGAAACCAATTTCCTATAGAGTACATGGCCAGAAATTCTACCTGTGATTATTGCACTCGACTTTCACCACTGCTGCCCTCAACAGACTGTTGGGGCAAGTGCTGTTAGCGAGCACAGATGAAGGCTGGCACTGCACACGAGGGGGTGGTGTGCTCAGTACCACGCCTAGCCGCTTTTGTCTTTCCAGTGCTGATATTTTACACACCGCACAAGGTACGTATTAAAGTTGAAATGACCGAGAGAAGACCCAGGAACAGTTCACATAACCAAAACCGATTTTGGCCATAGGAATTAAACTTGGGCCGACCATCTTCTTGGTTCTTTCGGTAAAGTCACGTAGAAGGGAAATAATAAAATAATAAAAATAAATCTTAATTAAATAATTCTCACGACGTTTCGGCCACAACGCAAGCAGTCGTCCTCAGGTGAAGAACAGGTCTGTCGGAAAGACAGCGTCATTCAGACGCTGTCTTTCCGTTGTGGCCGTAACGTCGTGAGAATTATTTAATTTTATTATGTTTTATTTTTATTATTTTATTACTTCCCTTCTACGTGACTTTACCGAAAGAACCAAGAAGATGAATCCCTGCAGTCACGAAAGCTTTAAATCGAAATTGGGCCGACCGGTTCGTAATGCAGCATGCCAACTAACCACTATGCAACCACTCCCCCACACAAACACAGCGCTGGAGCATGTACCCTCCCAATAACGTTGCATGCAACACCTTTAAATCTTCAGTCCAGCAAATACGACGCTCGGTATTGCATGCATCCCACACACGAAACGGCTAACACCAAAACACCCCCACAGCGCACAGAACGGTATTTCATTTTCGCCGATTTTTTTTTCTGGTGGAATTCCCAAAAGGGATTGCAGATGCTGTTTTCCACACGCGTTGACGTAGAATTGCCAACGAGAATTTAGGTCGGCAAATTCACCGCCCGAAAGGCTTCGGCTTTATTGCTGCGTGAAGCAACGTTATGGGCTCCGCAATGGATCCACACGTACCCTCCCGAGATTCGCTGGACATGTGAAATCATGGAAGCTCTATTGTGAGCCACCTTAGTTTATCAGCATATTGCAGTTTCGGGGTGCTTTTCTGACCCGCAATATGTGTTGTAATTAACAGCATTTTCAAAATATCTTACCGACGCTACAACCCACGAATGCCTTTTTGCAAACATTCTAAACACATGTTTAGAGGTGATAGGGTGGCCGAGAGACGTGTAGCAATGCACGTGTCAGCCCTACCTCTCAGCACCACCAGTCCCGTAGCATAGAAGTGGCTGAATGGGGCTAGCCATCCCCCCCCCCCCCCCCTAATTAGGGCTCTGCCACCCTCCTCGATGCTTTCATACTAAAGTCATGTTGGGCGGTGACGTGGCCCAGTGATTGCACGTTCGTTTGTATGTACGGATGTATGATGAACTTCTTTTGCACCATACATAGCCAACCGCGCGAATCGGAGGTGTGGGGGAAGGACAACAAACTAAACACAACTAAACACAACAACAACAACAACCTAAACACAACAACAACAAACTAAACACAACGACAACAAACTAAACACAACAACAAGCAGTTATTTTGGCCCGAGTCGGCCATTGTGTGCCGGGATCGAGGTCCATATTTGCCAAACGTTTTAAATTACTGACAAATCGCTTCGTTGGGAAATGTAGGGCCGGCCCCTCCCTGGAGAGAGAAAAACTGCCGTGGGAATCAGTGAGGTTTTACTTGGAAGAAAACATTGTAAGCGCAGGAATAATATTTATAATACAAACTGCTAAATGAACAAAAGCAGATCACGTCGTTACGTATTCTGTTGAGCGTTGTCTTTGAAGTTTGATTAATACTGACTGGACATGCCCCCCCCCCCCGCCCCCGCCCTTCTTTAAACACACTCACAATTAGGCCTCGGCAAGGTAAGGTAAAAGTTAAAAAGTAAAAACAACGAGCCTACCTTTACCCTACCTTTTACCTTACCCCTTGGCACGTTGACACCTTTACCCTTTTACCCGGTAAAAATGGTCAATTACCTTACCTTGCCGAGGCCTACTCACAATGCAAGATTACGCATCACTGAGAATCTCAAGTTTATATCCTGGGCTCCCGTCTGCGTTAAACCCACGTTCACCGTAGCTGCTGTTGCAGAGGAGGACTTCCCCCGTACTGAGGCAATGCCTCAATCTGCACAGGCGATGCAGAGAGAGCCACTCTCGGATAATTCTCATTGGGTCGGGACGAGAAAAGTGAAGGGAGCTGTGGGAGATGGGAAGGTGAGCGGGAATCGGTGTTTGCTGGTGCTGCACGAGAGGCAGGAGAGATAATGCGCACAACAGGTCGTGACAGTTCATTGGCCAGCTCTAACAGTCAAGCTAAAAAGCCATTGAGAGATTTTTTTTTTTTATTTGTGTCATTTTTTTATTTGAAGCTTTCGTGACTGCAGGAATCCATACTCTTTGGTTCGTTCGGTAAAGTCACGTAGGTAGAAATAATAATAATAGATCACGACGTTTCAATCGCAACAACAAGCGACCGTCTACAGGTGAATATTATTATGTTTTCTACCTACGTGACTTTACTGAAAGAACCAAAGAGTGTTGTTTTTTTATTTCAAAGCAACGCGAGCCCCCCGTTTACACATCACCGACCACAGAGGAAGAAGGAGAGGGCGGGGGGGGGGGCAAAAATCCCGCAAAGCAACCCCCCCCCCAACCCGAGATCGACGCCGCGGCTGGGCTTGGTGGAGAGGGTGGATTGGGTTCACTGCCTCACCCAGCTAGGCAGCCTCGAGAAGAGAAGTGAACGTTTATATGGGGGTGGTGAGATGTTTCTATGGGGGTGGTGAGATGTTAATTACGGGAGGTCGTGGGTTCAATCCCAAGTCTGACGCCTGGAGTTTGCATATCTCTCTCGCCGTGATCGCGTGGATTTTTCTCCGCGTCCTACGGTTTTCCCCTCCACATTTAGAATCAACATCACGCGTTCAGAGTATTTGGCTGCTATAAATTTCCACGTCACAAGCCACTTCGTTGACCTGTAATTTGTGGCCAGGTCGCTACTGAAAAAGAGCTGTATAGCTCAGTGGACCTCACCTAGGAAAAATGAAAATATAAAGTTTCGTTTTTTAGTTTAGTAATGGAGAAGATGGGAAGGAGGGTACGAGGAGTGGGGGAAGGAAAAACGGTAAGGAAAGGGGAAAATGGAAAGGCACGTAATAAAATAATAATTCACACACGATGTGTGAGCCTGTGAACTTACGTCCCTCATTCACAGATATGTTAGCAACGAAAAACAACACAAAGACAAGTCTCAATGTAAAGTATCGTGGTGATCCCTGTGTTCGTGTGTCCGCACAGTTGGCACAGCAGGGGGTACAGCTGGTGCATCTTGCCAGTCATCTCAGTCATGTCACCACCTGAGATCTATACCGTGACCTCCTCCTGCCTGCAGCGAGCCTCCGACACTTCACGTTGCCTCAAAGTGCACCTGGCCTGGCACCAGGCGCCATGGTGACACCAAAGTACTGACCGCCCTGAATATCTCCTAATTTTAAGTAGGAATCAGCTGATGTGATGCAAGTGGAATACGCCCGCTGGTTGGTAATGAAATCAATTCTGTAAAACATGAATTCAAGACAGCACCATGCTGTTCTTACAGACATGACAAGAAAACGGCTAATGTTCTCGAATGTAAATACGTCGGCTGTAAATAACCGGAGATGCTGCACTTAAGCGTCTGACTCATTGTGTGTTCATGTTGCTTGACCTTTCTGGAAAGAATTATGTTTCGGTGGAGCGTGAGAGTGCACATGTGAGCAGAGCGCGTGGATGTCGTCTGGATTGAGAGCACTGCCAGACGGGGCTACTTTGCACTCAATTACCACCCTTTTAAAAACATTTTTTTAAAGAAAACGGTTGGAAACACGATAGAAAAAAGATCACGGTGTTTTCAATAATGCGTGCTCTCCAACGCGCGTTTTGTCTTCACCAAGCGATAATAACGGCATCACTTGCGCTACGAGCGGTACGTCCGCGATGTGACCCTTTTCTGTAGGGCAATTCCAAAATAGCGACGAACGATTCTTTCTACTGCAATTCAGTTCATATTGGATCATCTTTATGAGAGTTACC